CCACCTGACCTTCCTATTGCTGCCTTCCAAAACCTGGAAATCACATCTGGAGAGCCCAGCAGGATCTGCCTGCCGTCTGGTCCTGACTTATGGTACCCCAACCACTTTGGACCCCACCTGCTCCCAGGCCCTCACGTGGACTTCACTCTTCCCCTCAGGTCTCCCTGCCTCCACCTGCCTCCAGTCCAGCTTCAGTCTAACATCTGCAGCCTAACTTCTCCTCCTAGGAGAAGTTCCCAAGAGTCTTGTGGCAGAGTAACATCAAGCGCCAATCCCCACCTCAACTCCTGGTCCTCCACAGCCCTGCCCTCCAGGTATGGCTGTGTGTTTGCTGGTGTGGTTGTTGATGGAAGGGTTGCCTCTCCCCCTGGCCTACAGGCTCCCCACGGCTGAACAACCCACCTGCTTCAGCTCTGCCTGCCTCTCCAGTGTCGAGGACTGTTCCTGGCTTATCATAAGCACTCAGAAAGCAATTGGGGAGGAACAAAGGATGAGAAGAAGGGAGAAGCCCACCCTCTGACTGGGTAGAAACAAGCCAGGCTGCTCAGGCCAAAGGCTGAGCTAACAGATTCGTAGAAACAGCAGAATCAACAGGTTACCAGCCAGCAACTGGCTACTTTACTGAGCTTTCCGCCTCTGCCTCTTCCTGCCTCCGGGTCACTTGCCCCTCCATCACTTCCCTTCCCCGCCTCTCCCCTCCTGTCCCTTCTCTCCCTGCTTCCACTTTACTTCTCTCTTTCTGCCAGTTTTTTTTACTCCATTCTTTCTTCTTTCTGTTTCTTTGACCCTCATCTATAAAAGCCAGTGTTTTAGGAATAAAATTTCATATTTTGTGTTCTGATTTAATTTTACATTCAATCTTAGATAACTTTATAGCCCCCTTTCATAGCTAAAAGTTAAGAATTCCATGCCTGATGGCCGCAGCTGTGAATAGCTTACTTTTCCGAATGCCCCAGTGCCTCTGGCCTCCTCCCCACAGGGGCCCAAAAGAGGAGGCTGAGAGGCCTATCTCCTGGAAACAGGGACTGACAACAAGGTTAGCTGCCCAGGGCTGACTGAAGTTTGGGGAGCATTTCCCTACTGACTCAGAAATTGTTTGGGTCAAAGTGGCTACTGCCAGGCAAACCACCCCAAGTCTAGATGTTCAGTGGGAAAAAGGCCTCCTAAAGGGCCTGCCACCTGGAGATGAAAAGGGGAAGCCTGGGCCCAGGAAGGAGGAGGACATCTTTGACTCTCCTCAGCCCGCTACCGTCCAAGTCCTTCTAACACCTGCTCCTCTTTCCTCACTGGCCCAGGCGGCAGTATGGCCAGGAGGGAGCAGAGGGAAGGGGGCAAGGCTGGTGGCTGCAGCAGAGGGATCCGGGCTGCATTCACAGCACCACCCCCGGACCATCTGTTGGCCCGGCCCTTGCCGGAAAAGAGTAGGATGCAGGCAGGAGAGGAAGACGCTTGTGGCCACTGCATCTCTCCCTCCCTTCTCCACACCACCCACCCTGGGTAAGTGCCTGAGCCCAAGGCTTGCCAGGGGGTGGGGATGGGGGTGAGCACAGTAGCTTGGTTTTGGTTTGGTCTCAGCAGAGCCTAGACCTTGGAACAGGCGAAGAAAGACTACGCTCACCGTTCTGTAGTTTCCTTAGAGGGGCTTATAAGCGATTCTGACTAGAGCAAGGGAGGTGGATGGCAGACGGGCTGCCTGGACTCGGAAGGGTGGGGATGAGGGGAAGCAGGTGGGCCTCCCAGATGCGGGCAGTGGCCTCACTGGAGGTGGTGCTCTGAGAGGATTCTGCTGATCTGACCAGGAAGCACAGGCATCCAGTCAACCCTGCCTCTGCCTCGAGAGCTGGCCAACCTGGGCACAGCAGGACAGCAAGCGCCGTGTCTGTGTGAGCGCGGCACCCATTGGTCAGCCCCTGGGTCCACCGGCCAGAAGAGCAGACACTGTTCTGGCCAACTGGGGCTGACTTGTATGTGATTCTCATCTCCAGCCCTGGCATGCTGTTTCTGAGGACCCAGCTAAAGTAATAAGACCCTGACAGATGCCATGAGACAGAAAAACCAAAACACTGAGTTCTGGTGCCCATCGGCCCAGCAGCACCAGTCTTTCCCCTTCTTTCTGCTCCTTTGTCCTCATGCAGCCATTCAGCACAACAGTTCTATCACGCTCCCAACCTGTGCTGCTACTCTAGTTACAAACTAGCCACTGACACACGTGAAAAAAGGCCCATTTTCCATGGTCACATTTCCAAAGATCCAAGAACAGCTTCATTAGTGATCTGAGTGGCCGTGAACCCCTCCATGTCACTTGTGTGGCCACGTCACTTGTGTGGCCTTGTCCCTCTCCAGGAATGCTCTACCTCTCTCTGGGCCAGTGAGAAGCTGAGGAGAAATGCATCCTGCTGCCCTGCCCTTCCCTGCCCTAGTGAGGCTTCTGTGACCCTTGAGGCAGGATGCGGGACCCAGGCTACCCCACGTTACCACACCAGCAGTTTCAGGCACAACCTTGCCCCCACAGACAGGGCCCCCATGAAGCTCCCCAGTGCCCAGTGTCTGCAGTGCAGCTGGGCTGGGAACCGCAGTCCTCTGGCTCTTTCCCACTCCAGCTGGGCCCCACCTAGGAAGTGAGAAATCAAAGAAGGAAGTGAGTGCTGGAGTTGAATTTCCTGGAAAAGATCACTCTGCCTGAGCCCCTGCCACCTACACTTACACACGCCTGACTTCAGAACCCGCCCTTGTGCTGCCCAGAACCACAGGCCGGGCAGGACCCCAGCCCAGGACACCAGGGCAATCCCACAAACAGCCTTCCTGGCTGACATAACATCATGACAGAGGGGCCAGACCAGATGTGGTCCCACCGGGGTGCATCTATCAGCAGGTGTGTGAGCAGAACCTGCAAACTTGCTTCCTCATTATGCGCAAGCCTGACCAGGGAGGTGCGCTGGCTCTTAGCAAAGCAACATAGGGCAACTGCTCTGACTCAAATACTGGGCTCTGCCGGCCCCTCAGGAAAATGGGCTGATGGGTCTCTTTCCTTGGCAGCCATTGAAAGCCAACCCTAGAGAAGAAATGGTTCTGCTTGGAAACCCTTGCAGAAAAAGGCATTCCACCAGGTGAGAACGTGAAGCATGGACCAGGTCAGCATTTCTCAAACTGGGTGCCATGGAACAGCAGCCCCTAATGTTCTGTGAAAGCAAGTCTGGGAAAGGCCGCCAGCGGCAGCCCTGTCTTGAGGCTCCTGCATGTGTCTTGAAGTACCTGGCCAGGAGGCCTACTCTTCAGCAAACGCTGTGAATCTGCAGTAAGGTGGAGGCCATTTTCCTCCTGGCCCTGAGCCTCGGCTTCCTCCCAGCACAATGAGGCAGATGGAACGGGTGTCGCCAAGGTCCTCCCACTCTGCTGTTTTCCAGGCACAGCCAAAGGCTGGCTCCCCTCCCACTGCACCGAAGGTTGGGGGAGCCTGTTGTGTGGGAAGGACCGGGATGCCCACCAGGAAACTGGTGCCACCACGTGTGGATCACCCTTGATCTCTGCCCACCCCATCCAGAGTCGTTCAGGTCCTGCTGTTCTAGTAAGTGTCTCAGGGAGGCTGGAACCCGGGGGACAAGGCAAGCCCAAGGGGGTGATCCCCGTGGCAGCCTCTCATCCCTGCCTGCCAAGCCTCCCTGCTCCTGTGAGGCCGGGTGCTTCTGGCATCTTGCTGGCAGAAACACACAGATGAACTTCCCTGGCCTTAATCACAAGGTTCTAAATATTGAAGAGCAACACTTACCTAACTGATCAGTGCAGGGATGGGCCTGTTTCTAATCACAGATGTAATAATCACGAGTGTGCACGCCTCCTCAGGAAGCCCCCGCACTCCAGGAGCGACTCCAAATGCACTGAGTCATCTCCCCACACCGGCAGCTCCTTCCTCGGAATCTCACACTTACCTCTCGCAAACCACACGTCCCACACCCACAGCACCTCTTGTCACAAATAGACCCCCGACCTGTGAACAGTTATTCTCACTCATTCTCACTCATCCCCCACTCATGTGGTCCAAACGGCTCCTGCTGCTGATAATCCCAGAGGCAGCCAGGCAGTCAGTCACTCCCCATCCTGCCCATGGGCAGAGCCCTGAGGGGAAAACCAGAGGCTTCTCTGGGTTACCCAGGAGGAGACGGGGGAAGCCAGCAAACCCACTCATTTCAAAGGCATGGCCCCAGCTCAGCTAATATACTGAAGCACCCAGGCTCCAGAGCACCAAAGAGAGCCTCAGGGGCTTGGCTGAGCATCCCACAGCAACTCAAAGCATCTTGACACAGCTGGGGTGGGGCTGGGGCCCCAGGGTCCCCTGGGGCAGAAAGGAGGCCAGTCTCACAGAAATGGCCTTGTCGTGGCCTCTTTGTGAGTGTAGGACACTGTCATCACTGTGTGCTTGGCCCCCAGCCTGGGTCTCTACTTTACCCCAAGGCCGCTTCTCAGGATTGGTAGCTGTTCCACCCCCTCAGGCCCCTGCTAACTAGAACAGAAGCCCAGGTGGAAGGCAGTTTCCTAACCCCCTTAACACCTTGCTCCCCTCACCGGCATCCACCTCCAGAACTCACTGTCAGGAAGAGAGGCTGGCCTAGGGCGAGACAGATATGCCTCCCTTTGGGCCCTGCTGCTGCTCGTGGCCCTCTCCAAATGAGCAACCACTGGGAGAAGTTGTCCCTAAGACTGTCTCTGGCCCTCTCTAAGGCGATTTCTCCAGGTCAAACTTGGACCAGGTAAGAAAGCATCTTTTCTTCAGAGCCTCTGATCCAGCTTTCAGGAGGTACAGGAATCCCTCAGGAGATCGGGGGCCGGGACTTGTTCTCTGTTACTACATCTTGGAGCCAGAATACAAGCCCTAGGAAGATACATCTGCTGATGGCCAAGGGAAATGGCCAGCAAAAGAGAACTGGTGAAAAGGGGAAGGGAATTAGGAGAGGCGTGTGAAGACAGGTGGGTGGGGTGAGGGGAGCCGGCGCAGAGGTGATTACCTGGGTGAGGTGAGGGTTGGGGTTGAACCCACACTGGTTGCAGACCTTGTTGTGACACTGGGTGCAGGTATTGAAGTTTGGCTGGCTGGGGGTCGACGTGAGGTCCGAGGTCTTACATATGGGACACAGCGTGCTGCTGGGAAGGGGGGCGATCTGGGGGACGGAGTAGGGTGATGTGGGGGTGCTGCCTCTGTCCGGTGACACAGAGGGGGACCGCCCTGATCTCTGCGTCCTGCTGTCTACCTGCAGCGTCCTGCGGGGGCCATCGGCCTCCTGGCCTGCTGGGCCCTGTGCCCTTGTCTCCCGTGGGCTCTCGCGGCCAGAAGCAGTAGCAGAAGGCTGCTTCGGGGTTGGGGAAGCTGCTCTCTGGCTACCCAGGGGCTCCTTGGGGTCCAGTCTCCTGGAAGTGCTGAAATGACATTGAAAATAACAATGTTAGAAACACATCTTAGAAAAGTCGCCTGCAGAGGTCTCTACCAACTGACGTAACCCTGCCAAGCCCCATCACCACCTCCTCTTTCTGTCTGGTGGCATCATCACAACCAACACTGGCTGAGTGCAGACTGCGTCCCGTGTTGAGCCCTGACAAGCATTTTCCACTTGAACCCTCAGCACAAGGTGATGTGGTAGGACCACGAGTGTCCCCTCTTACATCCCAATGAAGTATAGATTCTGATTGAGTAGGCCTGGGGTGCAGTCAGTGTTTTTAAAAATCTCTAAGGTTGGGAGGAGGGTATAGCTCAGTGGTAGAGCGCATGATTAGCATGCACGAGGTCCTGGGTTCAATCCCCAGTGCCTCCATTAAAAATAAATAAATATAACTCAATAAAAAAAAGTTTAAAAAAATTAAATAAAATAAGAATAAATAAATAAATAAATAAATAAATAAGCCTAATTACCTCCTCCCCACCCCCACCAAAAAATTAAAATAAAATAAAACAGTTGCTTAGTAAACATTTTTTTAAAACTCTCTTAAGGTGATGCTTCTACTATGGTCTGCACACCACACTTTGAGTACCAAGACTCTCAACCTACACATTAGTAACATCTAGGCTGATTTTTAAATTTCTGACTCTCTGACTGCACCCCAGACAAATTACATCAAAATCTGTGGGGGCAGAATGCTGGCATTAGTATTTTTTTTTCCTCCCCAGGTGATTTCAACATGCAGCTCAAGTTTAGAGCTACTGTGCCAGCAGGTCTCTTCCATTCTGGCTTGTCTCCTTCAGAGGCTGACTCCAGACAGTTGGAAGTGAGTGGGGGAGGCACTCCAATGCCTAGTTATTCCATCTCTGGCAGGGACAAAGGAGTCTTCCTTCTGCCAGTCTTCCAGCAGGCCTGCTGCCAATCCAATCCATCGCGATGGGTGAAGTGTTACTCTTCTGCTAGTGCAAGGCTGGGTGGGGCCATAGTTCTAGGATCCAGGCCTTGAGGAACCACTGAGGGAGGTCCAGTGTGCCTGACCCCCACCTCCCTCCTGACCTGGCCCTGCTGCTGCCGAGCCGGCAGAGCTGTGAGAGTCCAATGAGGTAGCAGGCAAATCATCAGGCTAAACTCGATGCCTTTACATTCCTTTTTGTTTCACGCAACCGAAGTTCATTTCTGCCAGGTTTCCCTTTCCAATTTGAAAGAGGCTGAGCACGAAAAACCAAAGGCAATGCTTCATACTGTTTTCCTGAAATTCTATACTCATTTCAGTCTGTATTCATTTGGGCAGATATGGGCACCAAGTGACAGGGCAGCCTGGCTGAGAGCCACTGTGGAGCCCGGGCCACAGCCACCTGTGAAGCGGCCTGGCCTGGCCTCTTCGGCCCAGTGCTCCCGGCCCTTGTAGGGTCTAACAGGAAGGGATTCTACGTCTGCCTCCCTTATATGAAGGCCACCTGATTAACAAAAAGATTCAGGAGCCAACTGGTACAACTGGTAAGATGTCTCAGGACAAGCCATTTCAGAGCGGAGACGAGGAGCTCACCGGGAGAGGCCCACTCAAAACACTTGGCAGTTCTTCCTCCCTTCCGAGGAACTGCTGGTGAAGAGACACGCCCTCAGTCTAATAGACTCTTCCAGAAAAAAGAAACACTATTAAATGTCTGTCAAAAGTCTCTTTCATCAACCAACAGCATATACCCATCCATCCAGTCTCACAGACCAGCCACTTTCTTCTTCAATAGGATAACCAGTCTGAGTCTAGTCCCTCTGGGCCACCTTTGCCACCAGCTGTGAGGCCCAGGGTGATGGTGGCAGCAGCCATCTCAGGCCCACACTTGGAATCCAGGCTCTAGGACCTCTCATAGACTGATTTCTAAGTATTATAAAGAAATTATCCTACTTGGTTAAATTCATAGTTTCATTGTTTTACTTAAATTATTCAAAGTAGCTCTTGAAAGTTAATCAGAAACTACAGAGAGCCTTTGGCATCATGTGAAGGGACTGCAGTCCCCTTCCCAGGCTGTGCAAGGTCCGTGGTTTCTTCTGAGAAGTGTAGTAATTTCCACTGTGTTTGTTTTGGGTGATGTATAACAGGCAGACTTCTGTGTACATGGTGAGTTGAATTCAGTGTTGCATCACAATGTAGTCTTTCTCATGTGACAATTAGGGATCCAAATTCAAGTTAACTTTCAACTCAGCTGTGGTGACAGTGAATAAACAAACAATGTCCTCTGCCCTCAGCAAGGTCTGCCCTGCAAGGGCAATGCTCCTTGCACACAGGCCTGATGCGTGTCCACATACCACATGGCGGCTGTCATTGTTACCTCGCACTTGCAACACAGGTCCGTGAACCCTTCACTCTCCCGTCCCCTAGATGATCCCTCACACCTTCTCCTTGACCTTCAGGCCTCCAACATGAACTCCCCTCTTTTCACTGTCACTGACAACTGGCTCGCCATTGGAAAGCGGGAGCCTTTGGATGGGAATCTGTACATCGAAGGCCTCTTGACATTTGTCCCCCCATGTTGCCTGTCTCCTGCTCCCAAGGCCCACTTCTCACCTTCACAAATTCTCCCCTTTCCTTCACTGTCCGTTTTTACCTCTCTACTTGGATTATTTCAATTGCCACACAAACATCCTGAAAAAGAAAGAAGAACTTTGGCCCATTTTCCCTTCAGCTACTGCCCTGTTTCTCTGCTGCTCTTTAAAGCAAAACTCCTTGAGAGGATTGTCTCCACTCATAGCCTCCAGCTCCTCTCTTCCCTTCCTCTCAACCAGTACAGCCTGGCTTTTGCCCATCACTCTACAGAAACTGCTCAGGCCACAGTCAACAACAGCCTCCACGTGATCAAATCCCACAGCCACCTCTCAGCTCCTCCTCTCACCTGCTCAGCAGTGGGACTTGATAGTGCCGAGCCCTCCCTCTTTCCTGAAGTAAGTCCTCTACTTGCCTCCCAGAATATCACCTTCTCCTGGGTGACCTCCTCCCTCCTGGCCACACCTTCCCAAACTCTCTTACAGGTTCTTCCTCATCTCCCTATCCAGAACCCTGCTTCTAACACGGAAGGGACCCAGCCTTTGTGTACGGGAGCTTCTCTGAGTACACACACAACCCCTGAGTCTCAAGGGCCCCCCCAACAATGAAGGCTTTAAATCCCACTCCCAGGGGAGGGTATAGCTCAATGGTAGAGCAAATGCTTAGCATGCACGAGGTCCTGGGTTCAATCCCCAGCTCCTCCATTAAAATAAATAATCTAATTACCTCCCCCCAAAACAAAAACAACACCCAAAATAAATAAATAAATAAATATTTTTAAAAATAAATAAATTTCACTTCCTCCTGATAACTACAAACATACATCTCTGGCCCAGACCCCTCCCCTGAACTCCTCGCTTGGCTCACTGTCAACTCTAAGATGTCCTACAGGCATCTCGAGCTTGATGAGCCCAAGCTGAGCCCTGATCTTGCTGCAAATATGCTCCTCCCTGTCTCCCCTTTGTAGTCATCTCTGCCTCCCTTCCTCTCTCATCCCATGTCAATTATCAGTGATCTTGTTAGCTTCAGAGTCTCGCTGCTCCCACTGCCTCCTCGCTCCACCTGGTTCAAGCCCCTGCACCCTCTTTTTTCGTTTCTGCACAAGCCTGGCTGCTCCCACTCGCCCCTCTTCAGTCTTCTCTATACAGCAGCCAGGATTATCCTTTACATACATAAATCAAGCCACTTCCCTCCTCTGCTTAAGCCCCCCTTTCTCTCCTACAGGAAAAGCCAGAGGTTTTACAATGGTCCACGAGGCCCGACAAGATTTGGCCCCTTTCCTTCGGGCCTCATCTGCTACTCTCTCTCTCTCCTTCTGCAAATGGCATTATTTTATTCTTTTTTTTATGGTTTAGTAATACACATATACCACAACTTCTTTAGTCATCTGTTGATGGGCATTTCAGTTGTTTCCAAGTCTTGGCTATTGTAAATGGTGCTGCTGTGAACATTCGGGTGCAGGTATCTTTTTGAATTAGACTTCCCTCTGGATATACTACCAGGAGTGGGATTCCTGGATCATGTGGTAAGTCTGTTTTCAGTTTTTTGAGGAATATCCATACTGTTTTCCACAGTGGCTACACCAAACTACATTCCCACCAACAGTGTAGAAAGGTTCCCCTTTCCCCACACCCTCTCCAAGTTTACAGACCATTCTACTTAAAACGCAGCTTCTGTCCCTCTTGCCTCTTTGTTCTCCAAGGCGCTGAGCACCCTCCGACTCACTGTATACTCTAGTACTGCTTTTGTGCACCCTCTGTGATCCCTGCACTAGGCTGCCAGCACTGTGTGGGCAGGGCCTCTGGGCTTTCTCCACAGCTGTGCCCCGAGCCTATCAGAATGCCCAGCACACACTGGATGCTCAGTATGTGTTTCCCGGATGGATGGCTGTGGGCACATCATGACTCAGAACAGTAAAATGTAGCCCCAAAATGTGTTTGAGCTGACGAAATATGGCATGTGACTGGCATGGCACTTGGCCCTTCCCTGGGTCTGACCTCACGTAGGACAGAATGACAGGAATGACTCCTGGAGTCCTCTCTAACTGCTGGCAGCATCCCCAGTTCCACCACACAGAATATGCCGCTGACCACAGCGGTGGGCACACCAGCCGAGCCCCTGCCATGGGCACCGCCGTGTGCTGGGCACCCACCACATATTAATTCCTTTAAGCCTCCTAGCAAATCCATGGGGTAGGATTCACTTTGCCCATTTTACAGACAAGGAAACTGCCACATATAGAAGTTAAGGAACCTGTAAAGCCATTGTGACCTGCAAGTGATGGAGCTGGGATTCCAAAATCAAGTTTCCCCAGCAATGCAGAGAGACTAATAGAGAAAACCACATTCGTTTATTCATTCATTTGAGCACTCAGTCATTCACAAACATTTACTGACCCTTGGAATAATAGTTCCAGCCCCTGTAATAGGTGCTGATGGTATGAACAGATTGTCTC